AAAGGCATAGCTAGATAGATGACTGACAACATCTATAGGAGATAAGTTCCGCTTTAGGACTAGGTGATACAATCCCTTTGTAGAGTGTATATACCTGAGATGACATGAGTTGGAATGGATGTATTAACTGAGGGTTTCCAGGAGAGAAAGTCATTATGGTACTTGTTTTATTTTAGAGCCCCTTGTATGTTGAAGGTTTAAACGTGTAACTCCATGACATTTATTGAGAATCTGAGAGTGATACAACCAGATGATACTGATGATGACCCCCTGCAGTTTAGACTAACAAGCAAACTGTCCTAACATACACAACAGGGCAGCTGCAGTGTTTACTTCACAGATGCAGATGTTCGTACGGAGAAAAGAGAGACTGTGTTAGACCATCTCTACCATCTGTCAGTCAAAAGAGGATATGAAACAGTGGAGATGAGATGAGGAAGTGGAGTCACACATTCAGCACATGCCCCGTAATGTACCACCCACACTCACCTCTGATAGATCATGGGTCATGTGTCACAGAGCACATGCCTTGCTGTAATTTCTGTGGATTTCTCGAAAAAGTCCAACTGTCAAGAGACAAACTTGTATTTTGTTTTTCTTTTGCATATTTGGGACACCACTGAAACAGTTCCTCATACACCTTTTCCTGATCTAGTCACAACACTGTCGAGGTCATGGGAGATCTGTCCATATGGCAAATTGAAGAAGCTGTGTTTACACACACCAAATGCTCTTTCACACTAGATTACATCCATTGAGCCTTTGCCAGTATGCCTGTATCAGTGTGTGTGTGTGTGTGTGTGTGTGTGTGTGTGTGTGTGTGTGTATGTATGTCTGTGTGTGTATGGCTGACTCTGTTTACCTGAGCAAAATTAACCTTATTGCAAATACTTACTAGCGGACATGAGCCCAATGAGCCTGAAAATATAACCCACACACACACTTTTCCATATACACAGCACACAGGACACAATGCCTGAGCTAATGTGTGGACCTAGGTGACATGGTGATCAGAAGGTAAAGTGTCACACATTCAAAAACAAACACACACTCATGAACACAAACGAGGGGAGAGAACTGCTCTGATACAGGCAGTATGAAGGTAATACAACAGAGTGGTTCTGAATAGAGATTTTGATTATCAGCAATAATATAGTAACCATCTGATGTAGACCTGCCAGAAGCTACAATTATGAAACTATGTTATGCTCCTGTATTGACAAAAGTTTGTATGATGTCAACTGTGTTTACCCACAATATCAGAGAGGTACTACACTACCCACAATCCTTGCTGTTTCTATGGAAATGTTTAACACAAAAAGTCCATGAAAATCACCTCAACAAGGTTAAATTTAAAAAGAAGCACTCTGGAAGTTATTAAAAATCAATCGCAATGGTTTATGGGATGTGTAGTTCCTTCATTCTTAAAATATTTATGTTAACAGTCTTGTAGCATCAACCTTTTTCTACTTTCCATTATTTTCTTGCTCCAAATTCATTTTTTCTGGTTGCAATTTATCTTGTAGCTGGTCTAAATATTTTCTGAAATGTCAACAGAGAAATTGAATGGGACATTTACATCAGAAAGAAGTGTAGCTCTAAAAGTGGGCGGTCATTGTTAAGCTTTATTAGGATCTTAATTAAAACAGTCGAAAGCGCTCACCTCTCCTGCGAGGTATTAGTGCTTGAAACTAAACTCTGTTTTCCTTTGTCGGCCATCCAAGCAGGTTGTAGCTGTGCTGTTGGGGAGGGAGCGCAACTACTCTGTCAGGCGTCGATGTTGCTCCAAATACTGGTTAGTGACCTTTGACCTTACTGACAGTGACCTCACAGCTCAGTGTGTTTACTGACCCCTGATCTTTGAAACTGAGTGCACTCTGTTACCCCACTGACTTGTGCATGTGCATCTGTCCCATTCTCTATTGCAATTTAGCACATGTTCTGGCAAAGACACAGAAAGGCAGTGCAGTGCAAGTAAAAGTCTAAACAACTACACTCATACACCTAGTTATTATTATGCTTTTTTTCTTTTAGAGACATTTTTTCTGATGTGTCGCCTTTGCTGCAATGGCAGTACGTGAGAAATGGGGAGAGAGAATGGGGTAGACACGCAGGAAGGGATGGGTCAGAAACCTAACCATGGCTCCTGCAGGAGGACTCAGTCCTGTGGGGCGCCTGCAGCACTACACACCTGGTTAATATGTCCACATCTAGTCTTATCAATAAATGTTATACTATTTGATAATAAGTAATGTAACAGGCAGCAAATACATTTAAAGTCATCTTCTATAATTGACATTGACATGTGTTAGCACCGCATTATTGTGACATTTGCACCAGTGCTGCTGAAGATCTATTTGTATGATCTGTTTACACCACGGAAATATTTTTATTCATGGATTCACAAAAATGACGTAGAGACAGCGGACAAGATGTTATGTGTCTTGACAGTTGAATGGTAACTCAGTGATGACAACTGTCGATTAACTAAGTCACATGTTAAAACTCTGCATCAACACTACTGTATTTGGATAAATCACTTGCAGCAAGGCCTTAACACAGGCCTGATTCTCTGTGTTACATAATGATTCCAATGCACTCAAATACTATTCACAGTATGTGTTTAAAACATATCTACAAAAACATGACTTCCTATCCAGTCACAAGATTTTAGTTTCAGTATCATTTTGTTGTTGTTCCCCATGGCTGCAGTTCCTCAAAATCCACCACCCATGATCTGTCATTAATGATCATATGTTTATAATTTATTAGGATCACTAAGGATTTTCAATTTCTCGTAACTCACCTAAGTTTGTCACCACTTGCTTCCTAGCACATCACTGTCATCACCAGATTAGTGCTAATGTTAAGGTCTAAAGCAGGGGTCTCAAACTCACGGCCCGCGGGCCAATTGTGGCCCACTGGACGATATTTTGTGGCCCCCTACTTGACATCAAAATTTAGTGCCGTGCTTGCCCTGACAGCTTCCGGTGGCATTTGTTGTCATGTTAGCCAAAGCGAATTAGCAGCATTAGTCACTTGATTGAAACCGTTCATGTTCACCGTTCATGTTGAAGAACTGTTCATCATAAAGATTGAGAAGATAAGTTGTACGTTTTGGAATACCTGAAACCCTTTTTTGTGGAGTACTTGATGCGGCCCAGCCTCACCCAGACTCTACCTCCAGCGTCCCCCAGGTAAATTGAGTTTGAGACCCCTGGTCTAAAGGGACATTTCTTTGAAATTCATTAAGAATACAATACAAATAAACAAGATATGAATGGAACACGAAGCTTGTACTTCAGCTACAAACTGTCAGACCTATCAAAACCTCTCTGCTCCGACCTTTGAGGCTCATTGTGTTCGTCAGAGAATGATGTAGTGGATCACAGGGACCAGGCAGAGGGGTCAGGGGATGGGGTCTTATGTCAAAGATGTGTGATGTAAGGTGGCATACATACTCTGTAGGTCAGCCAAGAGGCCTTCAAGCAGACTGGCTGTTGAGGGGGTTAAGTTAGACCTTTATGAGCACAGGAGCTAAAAGGTTCATGCCACAAAGTTGTGTTTTGATGGTTACTGCCATCATCTTCATCAGCACCTCTCTGATAAAACTGTAAATCTTGAAATATACGACAATCAAGAAAAAAACCTAGAAAGGCCAAAATGTCTGATTTGTAGATGGATACAAAAATCTCACTTTATCTTGCAGTCAAATACTTTGACCACAGTACAACGTATGCCTGCTTCTAAAAGTAC